GTGGCTTGAGTACCTGTTTCTGTTTTTTTACTATCATCATAGTTCGTGTGACAAAAACTTAACTATTGTTGCGTCGGCGAGGTCGCGTGGCTGGTGTCGCGCCACTCCTTTCTCGAACCTTCGGGAGATTACTAGATTGAGGGTGGTCTGGTGTATGTGCGGGAGGGTGACAGCGTGGCGGAGTAATGTGTGTATAGGTAATGAGTAACTGAACTGCAGTCAGAGAGAGAGACGTATTGTTGAAGTTAACTTTCGTTGTTAAAAACGTTTGTTTTAGCGCGAATATTGAAATTAAGTGTATCGTAAAGTTATATTCGGAAAGAATAAACCAGTTTTATTAAGTAAGGACTTGTGTCGCTAAAGTTTCGTCGGAACGAAGTACGGAAAGTTAATTAACAAACGGAGACGTAACACTATACACATTATATCGACCTCTTTACGTTCGGTTATCAGTTAAAGAGTCTGCAGAAACATTTGAATGGTTTTTAATGTAAGATATTAAGACTGAGTATGATTGATATTTTTATGTTCTTTCTTATGAATCTATTGATTTTTTGCATGTATCTGTACAACAAACAACAGGCCTGAAACTATGCTTCGGCAGTTACATATTGGTCTAACTCCCGTTCAGGTTGTGAAATACTTAGAAAGTAGTATAAAATACTTTCGAAATTGTAGAAACATATAGAGAATATATAGTTTTTGGAGAGCTTTGAAGACAACATAGAAAACAAAACACCTTAAAGAATAGAAATGCGTGTTACACATCTTACAGTATGATGCTATAACAAACATACATTTTCATCAAAAAGCCTAGTAACCGAACAAAATTGCGACTGCTAAAATCTGCTTCATATTGTTACGTCTCCGTTTGTTAATTAACTTTCCGTAAATTCGTTCCGACGAAACTTTAGTGACACAAGTCCTTACTTAATATAACTGGTTTATTCTTTCCGAATATAACTTTTCGATACACTCAACTTCAAAAGTCGCGCTATAACAAACACTATAACGAACAAACGTTAACTTCAACAATACGTCTCTCTCTGACTGCAGCTCAATTACTCATTACCTACACACACACATTACATTACTCCGTCACGTTGTCACCCTCTTTTATATACCAGACTACCCTATATCTAGTAAATACTAGAGCATTCGCCAAGGTACAGGATAGTTCTAGAAACTGCGTAAGTTGACTAGCTATTGAGTAAGTCTATTACAGTTTTATTCAGCCAGTTAAGCTCTTAAAATGTGAATTTGTGTTTGAACAAAGTAAAATTACAAGTGTTATTTATTACTCGTTTGTGAGTTAGGCCTATGAAGAAACAGCGCTTATAGAACTTTGCACGTTCGTCGGTAATAAACGCTTCTTTTTGTATCAAATGGATTGGACTTGACATTATTTTTTATGGAATAATAACAAAAAGAATCCGCCCAACGATAAAAAAGAAAAACAGCAACAACAAGAGAACAGTGTTTTTAACCTGTCCGTTTATATGGAAAATGTTTATATCACCTAGATATTGTTGCGTCAGCGAGTCACATGACTACTGCGACGCCACTGGAATTGAATAACTGTTTGTTTGTTTATTTTTGAATTTCGCGCAAAGCTACACGAGGGCTATCTGCGCTAGCCGTCCATGATTTAGCAGTGAAAGACTAGAGGGAAGGCAGCTGGTCATCACCACCCACCGCCAATTTTTGAGCTACTCTTTTACCAACGAATAGTGGGATTGAGTGTCACATTATAATGCTCACATTATAATGTTTAGTAGAACGAGGATTCAAACCCGCGACCCTCAGGTTGCGAGTCAAGCACCCTAACCACCTGGCCATGCCGGGCCACTTGAATAACGTAAAGTTAGGCTAGAAAGACAGAGAGTGAATATAAAAACACTGGAAGGTACCTAAATTAACTACTTTATAGTTTCATACAAAACTATATCTAAATTCAGTGTTTTTCCTTTATGTGTGTCAGTTGTTGTTGTAAGCTATGTTTCGGTGTATTTATATAGATGTTTTATTATTTTAGCTGTAGAGGGTTATTGATTTGATGTAACGCGATTAACACGTGACGTCTCGAATATTCTTGAAACTTAGTGATGACGTTTGAACTCCAGAAATTTCACGAGTGCCTTGAATTTAGCATTTAAAAGTTCTTGGTAGAAGCTCTGCTTCAAATTAAAAATCTAATGAATAATGTAGACGAGTCTTTAAGAATATTTATTTTCAGTGTATAGTAGTTATAGTGCAGATAACCATTTGTATAGGTTTGCGCTTAAACACAAAGAGAAGTGGCCCGGCATGGCCAAGTGGTTAGGGTACTCGACTCGCAATCTGCGGGTCGCGGGTACGAATCCCCGTCACACCAAACATGCTCGCCCTTTCAGCCGTGGGGGCGTTATAATGTGACGGTCAATCCCACTATTCGTTGGTAAAAAAGTAGCCCAAGAGTTGGCGGTGGGTGATGATGACTAGCTGCCTTCCCTCTAGTCTTACACTGCTAAATTAGAGACGGCTAGCGCAGATAGCCCTCGTGTAGCTTTACGCGAAATTCAAAACAAACAAATAGAAGTATTTCAATGAATGCCTTATTGATGGTTGTAAACAAGTGGGCTTGCTTATATAATATAGTTTCGTTAGGTATTTAAAAGAGGAACGATTCACAATTAGATACTTTCATGTGAGAAATAAACCATTACAATTCTTTGAACAAAACTGTGACGTTATAGCCGTAGCATATTCTTCTTATAAAGCAAAAGAACTGAAACATGCACGAAAACAACCACCATAACCAACTACCGACGAAAATATAAGCAATACTTTGTGACGTCAACGGCTCTCTCTCTGATCTGAAGGCAGGTTAAGAACCCATTCGTGCGCAGAAAGGACTTTGCCAGTTTTAGTAAACCCCTAAACTATGACGCAATTGGTAAGCACACTTACTGAGAGTATAAAAAAGCCAGCGAATCCAGTCCTAGCGATAGATTCTCTACCTTAAGAGATAGTAAATTATAACCATGTCGATGACCATTTATATCTATTGAACGTAGTAAGATGATATATTTCTCAGTTTGGGTGAGTTGTTTCAAGTTTTTAATATACCTGAAGATCACGTATTATCTTCTTGGAATTTCACAACAAATCAATTTTATCCGTAATTACTAACATGTGTAGTAATTCCAAAGTTATTATTTTCATGGTAAATTTACTTTCTGAAAGCTTGGAACACGTAAACGAGGCACTAGGCCTTAAATTTAAAAGCAGTTCGAGAAGTACGCATCAATGCTAAAACATAGAGTTGGAAATTAAAAAAAAAGTTACGCCTTGTCATCACGCATCACCGTGAATTAGGTGTCTTCAAAATCTGAATTAAAATGGTTATTTTTATCAAGTGTTTTCCACAATGACAACTACTGTCTAAATTCATTATTCGCGAAGGTTTCGTGTATTTGGTTCACTGCGTTAGACGTAACAAGGGATATCGTTTTATGCGTGAAAGAGTGATACTAAAATAATATAAACGAATCAAACTAAGATATATTGAAATTTCGTGAGTAAATCATCTTGATAAAATTATAATTGCTTTTACTATGACAATCGTGTCCATATGTTATAAATTAAAAGTACATTATTTTATGAAAATAAAATAATACAGTCAGAGCTTTACAACGTAATTAATGTATCAAAGTAAAAACAGTAAACTAACTAAAGTTAAAAGGCAGTAAACAGTGGTTGAAAAAGAGTAACATACAAGGAACCCTGTTCAATCTATGAATCTTATTTTAATCAAATGCCTACTTAGTGTTTTACAATAACATAGTTACGTACTTTCAAGCTACACAATTCTCTTTGTTAGTGTTAAAATGATGAATATTATTTAATTTTTTTATAGATTTTGCTTCTCTACTGCCTTGGACTGGTGAGGACCGTGTCCTGTAAGTGGAAAACAATATATCTTTTTATTTGAATATATTTTGACAGCTTAGTACGTCAGTTGGTGTAAAGGCGGAAACAGTGAACAAATGATCTCACTGTTATATATTATGTCAATGAGAAAATATGTATAAAATATAGTAGGAATTCGAAGAAGAAAATTTACATAAATTTCAAAGGAAGACAGGTGGGTAAGAAGGATGAAAGAGTAAATAACAGAGCTTTGGCAAGTAAGTAAGAAGTTAGGAAGATAAAGAAACGAGGTTCAGTGTGATTGAATATTTATCAAATAAAAATCCTACACTGATAAGTAAGAAGTTGGGAAGACAAACGAATGCGTATAGGTGAGTAGGAAGGTAAGAAGACACATTGGTAACTTAGAAATTTGAAAGATGAAAAAATTATATCCAGGTGTGCAGAAAGATAATGAATAATACGTATTGTTTGTAAAATGCTGAGCCCAATAGAGCAAAACTATTGCATCATCATAACAGAGTACTCTGATGGTATCTGTTCTGCACTGTTTGTAACATCTATATGAACAAGAGTTCCAGTTATCCCATCCCACAACTACCTGACGAATTTCGAAGAGGCGGGTGGTAACTACAGCCTACAAGGTCACTACATTATAAATGTTATTTTTAGAACTCCGTAAAAGCAGATTGTAGCTCCAGGCTTTTGTAACTAAATGTCTCCGTATGCAGAACGTCACAGGTTAGATGCCATCAGAAGAAGAACAATGGGTAAATCAAAGCAATCTACTTTTGTTATACTAAAGTCCAGAGTTTACAGTTGGTTTAAAGGCGTATTAAGGACAGAACACATATTTTATAACGTATGCTATAACCTATATGATCAGCCTATAGAGAAGCGCGACCAATATGATGAAGTAGAGGGAATGTAGCGCTGTGCATCTACAATAATTATATTTTTACTCTGAAGTTGCAAATTATCTTTTAATATCAGTGGTATATAACCTTGTAAAAGGTTTCCGAGTTATAGTGTTACCTAAAGAAAACAATCCTTTTTTTCTTGTTCTTCTTTCTTTTTTTTTTTTTTTTTTTTTTTTTTGATGACTCAAGAAATGGAACAACAAGGCGTCTAGTGGACTCTGACCAGGTCATTGTGTCGTCAGAAACATTAATAAGGATCTTTATAGAAATATGGAAAGTTATCGCCGAGATATACAGTGAAAATAGGTATAACCTGGTGGTACTTCAGTACACATAAAAGATATCTGCTATCCCAAACTACGCTGTCTAGCCTTTTGTGGATTGTCCATTGAATAATTACATTTCAAAGATCGACAAACTCTAGGAACATCACAAGACTCAAAATACAAATCTTCAAATTATTATAACAAAACTTTGTGCTCTAGCTAGCAACACGAAAACTAAAAATTTTTCTTTTCATATTCGATCAGACTGATTGGGAAATGTACCTAACCACCAACGGGTTAATTTCTTGGGCGACACAAGAGAAGCTTGTAATAATTATCAAATAGCATACTGAGACACAATACTACAGTGAGCTAGCTATTTTCTCAACTCATTATACCAGAATGAACATTTGGTCGATGTAAAGCTTGAATTATTCCCCTAAGTTATACGGAAAAAGTACAAAAATTGATACCCCAGGGATCTTGCATTTTTAGCTGAAGAAATAAATTGAAACTAGACAAAACAAATCCCTCACTCAACTCTACTTGTTGTACTTGCCTGGTTTACAATATTTATTTATATATTTACTGCTAAATATTAAAGCTAAAAATTGAAAATGTGCAATGGCAATGTAGTTTGACAGGACAATGGCTGCATTCACGACCAAAGTTACTACTACCACAATAGCTCGTGAAGTACAAAAGCTACATACAACACAAGAGAGAGAAATCAGTCACCATCATTACCACTTCAGTGACCATAACAGTGTTCGCCTTCACTGCTCTGAAAGACTGGCAGCATGAAAGATGATAAATGCAGAGAGCCAGGCATGATGCTTCTAGTGCAATGGCCCAAAGGGATGTCTTACTCCAAAAGTCCATGCACTGGTAACTGTTGCTTCAGCAATGGTACAGTTTTCCGCATAGCATTACGATGAAGTGATACGATTTGGTCTAGGATTATTTATAGCTTCTTTCATCAGCTTACTTACTTAATGTATGCTATTATTACTTAAAATATCTTTTTTAAGGGCATCTGATACAGAAAGAAAAAGGGAATTGGCGTGGAACCTTCATTCTTTTGTTTTACCAGTATCTTATCGTTCCTGTTGTGGTGGGTTTGTGTCTTGTCGTTCGTATTAGGGTGGGTTTGTGTCATTCGTTTGTAAGTGCATATCGCTGAAGTGGTTACATATATAATTAGTATTTACATAAGAACTATGTGATAGTGATTTTATTGTCTTTTAAACCCTTTGACTTATTTTAGTTTAATGAGAAGGAATAGGATTTGTACTTGAAAGAGATTAAACTGTCTTTAAGTAAAAAAGTAATATAGAATCCAGGTTTTGTTAGCGATATTGATAAATCACTTATTTAGCTCGAATTTAGCTACAGAAGTGACATGTTGATCACATAGTGAGGATGGTGTTTTGAAATAACGTCAATTTAACAATGGAACGCCCAACTTGGAAGTCGAACAGACTTAGCCTGTTTCACAATCTACTATAAAGTGTTTTTGTTTTGTGTGTGTATAAGTGGTTTAAATATTTACTCAATTTTTATAACCCAATTTAATCGTTTTCGCAGTATTATAGCATATAATGTTTATGTAAAATTAGCCACAACATTTAAGAAATATACTTCATTAAGAAAACACAATGTAAAAATTATTGGAATTGGTAAGCTAATAGCACATTTATTATAACCAGAATTTCACAACGTCTTGAATTCAATATATTTTGCTTTAACATACTCGAATTTTAGTCAAAAAGAAATCGTTTTAAGTTTTAAAAATATACTCTAAAAAAGGCTGATTGGCCATTTGCCTAAGATGACATTCTCTACAGATCAAAAGTTCCAAACATTTTTTTACTATATAACTAAATGACCTTCGTCCATCCTAATACACCTCTGTAGTAGATGTAACAACATTACTATGATTTAATTCTGAGTCCATAATCAAATTTAATTTTCACACAGTAAGGATCATAGCCAAATTATGTCGCACTGAATGTAGGCAAACTTCAACTGCAACAAAAAACAAACAAACAAAGATATCAACCCATGGCTGCCGAGCGACCTTGAGCGAACAAACCACAGTTAACACTTTCTTTACCTACAAGACAATATATTTTTATTAATATTTTTATTTAACGGTTTATTATTATTAATATGAGTGGCACGCGTAGGCTTCTACAACCTTCGTCAAATCCTAATGGTAAGCGTATGTAAGGATTTGTTTACCGTATTTTTCGGAATATAAGACGTACCCGTATTTTGAAGACAAAGTTTTTCGGGAAAAAAAAAGCTACAGTCGCATTTGAAAGATTT